TCTCGGACAAGCACTGAGCATACAGTGCTTATTAATATACGTTGGGTAAGGGCAAACCTGTTATATATAATTAACATCTCCCCAACGCAAAAATACATCTTGAAAATACTAAAGAACAGTTCTTTTACAAATTCTTTGCAGACAATTTTTATTATTTACACCCTCAGATGTCTACCATATTTAGATCATAAAAAACAATATATATATATATACAATAGATCACCTCCTTGCAATTAGAATAATTTTACAAAATGAAATTTTAGATGTCAATTGACTGTTTGGCCAAATATCAGAGATATTTCATAAAGTGTGGTTTTCACCCAAGTATAACTGTATTCGTGGTTTCCACTTTACATCATAACCTGTTGTTGCAAATTGACCTCCATGGATGGTCCAACTCAAATACAAAACTACAAAATATCAATGGCGTAACTAAAGCGTATGATAAACTTGCACAGTCACAACATAACACGTGTACAACCAGAGAAAATCTATCAAAGGACTGTATATATAAATGAATTTGCAATTCGCAAATGATCGATCTCAGCTTTACCGAACTCTATCCAAGGACTAGACATGTAAATGAATTTGCAGTTTGCAAATGATTGATCTTAGTTTCACCAAAAACTCTAAAGGTATATTTTCTTCGGTTAGTGACCTTTCATCTGGATCAAAGTTATACCAAGCGCAGATACTCAAGAAAAGAACCTGGTCACAAATGATTATCAATTGGCAATAGCAATCCAGTTCACTGTGATAAATACTGGATCCTGTTATGTGGGTCCTCTAGTCCTTTGTAGACTCAGTGGCGGTCGATCAGGTGTTGCTCAGCTAGCTCACACGCCACTCACCAAAAACCCTATTGTAGTGCTCTCAGTCATCTCTGCGACGCAAGTTGAAGGCAAGGTTTTGGCGTCATTTACCCCAAATAGTGGTCTCCAAACCAAGCTTCACCTTCATGAAGGGTCAGGCACTTCCAGCATGATACCATTTGGCCATCTAATTTTCAAAGAAAGATTTTCCAAAAAACAAAACATAATTATGCTCAAATGTACTAACGGTGCCATCTTCTTCCAAGAGGCAAAATCTGACATAATGCCTTTCAATCACAATTTCTTAGATATTTCTCGATCATTGATTTCTAACACTAGGCAAAAGTATGTACTTTAATTAAATCTTTAAGTCGAAAGAAACAATTCAAGAATTAACTTACAGTTTTCTTGCAGTTTTCAAACCTTGGATTGCTGATCTAGCCCGCTCTTGGATTTGCTTAACCAATTGCCTTTAGCAGTTCTGCAAATATCTGCTTCTGGTGCAGCACAGTGCAGCAAACAGGCTTAAAATGTGTGCGGCTCTGGCAATCCACAAGCTACATGTCATCACGACAATCATCAAAAATGCTCTTCTCTTCTCTCAAAACTATAGCTCTTATACTAGGTACACATCTCATATCACATCTGTACACATCTGTATCACACTCAGCACCATCCATGATCCTCCTCGTGAACACTCGCACAAAGAAGTTGGGTGCATTGGGATGGGTGCATTAGCTTACTTGGCAAAGCTAAATATTTTAAAGATGTATCTCACAATAGAAGAGGGATACTGCTGCGGCTTCTTGGCCTGTATTGTCAAACAAAATAGCAAATTAACCTGGCCTGGATAGTCAAACAAAATAGCAAATTAATTTAAATGTGGGCAAAGAAATCCATGGCCATGGGAAGTGAACTGGATAAGAAAATATACTAATTACTGAATATGCATGAAGTACTACAAGCATTTGCTCATTTAGTAGCCAAAGTGTTCAGAGGAATTCTGACAAAGTGTATGAATATGAAAATATTCAAACATTTTGTGCTATGCCAACAAAGCTCTTTTCTTCACAACCACAAAAAGGTGAAAAAGCCCTGTGTTCTGTCCTTTAGACAGGTACAGTTCCTCTAGTTCCTTCTTTTTCTTCTTCTGCTCAAAAGCCCATTTGTTTTTTGCATGTTTTTCCTACACATGACTTTAGTGCTTTTGCAACTTTGGATCTCCATCAAACTTGATCCAATGAAGGACCCTATGCATAGATGGTTCTAGAACAATGACATTGTGATGATGTAATCAAGTGATTTATTGTTGATTTTTCAATATTTATTTATTTATTACATGTTTTCCAGTCACGATTTTGGTTATCGGCGATATTCAATCGTCATCAAAGTTACAGCAAGCAAAAACCTTCATGCAGAGTTAATGCCAAATTTATGACTGCACGATGATGTCGTCATGTGATTGTTTATTGATTTTTAATAATCAAGTTTAGCCCATAGGTTTTGTACACGTTTTTCAGCAGCAAGACTTCGGGACTCTGGTCAATCTAACTTATTTAATGTTTGTGCACACTCATACTCCACCATGTAAGGAGGGTCCCAGAATTGTCATAATGGCACCATCAGCGGTCACTTGACATGAGATTAAAGGTGCAGTTCTTTTCGATAGAGATTGTACACGGTTTTTACTATGCTCTGTTATTGATCTGAAAGACTATAATGGGGCTCTAAACTTCAGCCGAGGATTACCATGAGAACGAAAGAGAAATGATTTTTTGGGGGGGGGCTTTCCATTTGATTACATATATACCGAAGAGTCTAAATATGAAGTAATATTTTGAAAAAAATTTGACCTTGACGCAAATCACGTAATACTCCTTTAAAGATGAAGTTTATCAGTATGGGGTTCAAAGTGATGACGTCAGCATCTGATTTTTCATGTAATTTTAAATCTTTGTTTTTCCCTGATAGACTTTGCACACAGATTTGAAGTGTATTTTCTGTGCTTAGCAATCTTCAGTCTGTCTTAAAATTATACCAAGCACAGACACTCAGGCCAAGATTCTATGAAAAAAAAATGTCATGATGACGTAATCATTTTGAAATTTTAAATCTGTATTTTTCCCATAGACTTTGAATTCAGATTTGAAGGTATATTTTCTTCGGTTAGCGACCTTTCATCTAGATCAAAGTTATACCAAGCACAGATACTCAAGAACAGAACCTGGCAAATTAATGACGTTGTCATTA